ATGGTTGGGTATTTTTTTTTTTTTTTTTTTTTAGTTGTTGTGTGTTCTGTATACTACTATTAAAATTAATAATTAGGATCTTTGCGGTTCAAACCAACTCTAACTGATTTAATACAAATCACCTAAATAGAAAATAGTTACCACTGCAAATATCAAGCACATCAAAACCGTATTTTATGAAAACAAAATTATGACTGTACAAAACTGTTTAAAAAAATAATAAAATAAATATGAGAACGTATGATAAATAACAAATATTTAACAAGTTTCTAAGAACGTTTAAAAAGTCAAGTTTTCTTGTCCTAATTAAATGTTATTTAAAGGTTACAAAAACGTTTAAAATGTGAAAAAGTCCCGTTTTCTTGTTGTGATTAGAATGTTATTTAATTTTTTTTGTTTCTTCCAACGTTCTACTAACTTTATTTTTACACAAAATATAACATTATTTAAACATTTATATTTAATATTCTACGAACGTTATAATGTCCAGTTTTCTTGCGATTGTAAAGTTATTTAAAGGTTACAAAAACGTTTCTTACAACATTCTACTTCTTCTTTTTACTGTGACTGACTGTTTTGAAACTTATATGGTAGTTAAATAGCACCTAGACCTCAGTTATCATGAAAAAAGCCAGGAAATTTCAGTTTTGACAATATGGGACCTTTAATGTTTATTTTTAATATTTTAAAATGTTATAATGTCCAGTTTTCTTGTCGTTATTAGAACGTTATTTAAGGGTTACAAAAACATTTCTTAGAATGTTCATCAAATAACATCATAAGAATGTTCCGAGAATGTTGATCCCGGAACGTTTCCTCTCAACGTTATGAGAACGTATATCAAATATTAATTAAAGTTATAAGAACGTTCCATAAACATTACTTTAAGACTGTTTCGTCCTAATGTTTAAAAAACGACTATGTATTTGAACACATGATGTTTTATATTTTAGTCAATGGATTTCTGACTTTTCTTTGTTTTTCCAGTATTCTCCTGCTTGGAGTCGCTATCCTGTCGCTTTACTCCGTTCATCTGTTACTAGTGACGGCCAAAGAAGGAGGTGAGTTTATGGAGAGATGACAAACACACATTAATATACGAAACCTGCAGTCGATGCTATAATGTCCTCTGGCTCCAGGCTCGCTGATCTACGAGAAGCTCGGAGAAAGAGCGTTTGGATGGCCGGGAAAAATGGCAGCTTTTGGATCGATAACTCTGCAGAACATAGGAGGTAAAGGTGTTATCTTGAAAAATAGCTTGAATCTTTAGTTTTTAGCGTGAGTGATGTAACATTCATGTGTTTGGTTCATCTTCAGCCATGTCCAGCTACCTGTTCATAGTCAAATACGAGCTGCCGGAGGTGATTCGAGCTTTTCACGGGCTGGAGGAGAATTCTGGGTAAGTCCCAGTGATGTTTAACGGGTATTTGTGTCTGTATAGCAGTAGATGAAAGCATAATAACTGATTTATGATGCAAATTTGCTGCAGTGTGAGTTTGTGAAGTGAGTTTGTGGAGAGAAATATGGATCGATGCATCAATCAAACGTGTACAAAATCGACAATTAAGATATAATGTTTTTTCATTATTTGTATATTATTTAACAAAAAGTAAAATGTGTTTTTTGTTGTAGATGTTCCAACTGGGATACATGATTTGCAATTTTCAATTAAATGTTCATGCATTTGTGAGTTTACATTGCAAAATGATGTTCTTCCTCAGTATTTTGGTCTTTTTTTACCATTACAAATATCTAAACATCCTTAAATCAAGATGCATTTAGTCTTGATTTCTGAAAAGTGTATCAAAATTATGTGTTATTTTTAAAGATTCAGATTAGTTTTTAAGAATAAGATTTTTTATGTTAATGAAATTAATATGTACATTTTATATTTACTTTAAATAGATTAAAATATTTTTTATTTTTAAATGTAGTATTATTATTATTCTTTAGAATATATTTAAATAATTAATAAATATATTACGACTTGTTTTCTTAAAAATGTAATATTTTTGCTTAAAACAAGAACAAATATCTGCCAGTGGGCTCAGAAAAATAAACCTTATTCAAAGGGAAAACAAGATTATTTTTCTTGTTAGTGAAATTTGTAAATTTTCTATCTATTTTAAATGGATTAAAAATTAAGTGTAATTTTAAAATGTATTATTATGTTTTAGAATATATTTAAAATAAATACTACAAATAATACGTTTAAGAAATTGTCTTGTTTTTTGAAAAATGTATCAAAATTAAGCAAGCTTATGCTAAGAACAGATATCTGCCAATGGGGTCAGAAAAATAAGCCTCAAAGGAAAAGTAAAGATATTTTTCTGACCCCATTGGCAGATATTTTCTCTTTTTTAACTCTTTCATTTCTGAAAAGAAATGCATTTTCCAGCATTTTTGAAAAAAGTTGCCAGCCACCGCCAGCGATTTTGATGATTTTCACTAAAATCTGATGGCCTCCAGTATATTTTGCTGTATGAATATTTGAATATGCAATACACCAAAATAAAGATCAGAGCCTCTACTTTTAAACAAAAAAATGTTTTTAAACATTCTTTTTTTATCAACACTTGAATATAGGTAGATTTCATTAAAAATGCATAACTTTGAGCAAAAAGGTGAGAAAATCACATTTTTATCAAAAACTACATCTGGATAATATTCAGTACGATTATCAAAGCATAAATCCAGTAAATCGCTTCCGTGTTTTTGTTCGGGAGGTTTTGTACTCGTTCAGAAGATGCGTAATAGCGCCCCCCGAGTGTATAACAGTAAAAACACGGAAAGCTGTAAAAACTCGTCTTTGGCGGGGAAGCGTTGTCTTCTAAAAGACGAGATAACTCGTCAATGGCGGGGAAAGAGTTAAATAAAAAACAAAACACTTAATTTTGATGCATTTCCAAGAAAACGACTTAATAGCTTATGTAGGGCTGCACGATTATGACAAAAATCATAATTGTCGATTATTCCCTTGAAATTGTAATTGCGATGATTAATTCCGATTATCACAATTTACATTGAATGATGTTTATACCATTGTTTGATGCAACTGTCTCCTGCTGCGTGGTGCACTGTCGTTCGCGCACAGTTCGGCACGCTGCATTGAGCGTTTAGTTTTTAAAAGTATCTGTCCTCACTGAACTAGGCTAAATGATTTTTGTTACTATAAAAAAATCAAAACGACAGTGCTTAACCAATGTATAACCGAAAACACCGTCTATCGCAGCAAGCCTACTGTAGAGCTGTCTGCTGAAATAGTTTTATTTCTGTGCAGCTACTTTGAAACCGTCTGTATTGTATATTCTAATTCAGTCGTAATCACACCGCAGCATGTTTCGAGGTATTGTGGGATTGTATGGGAGCATGATGAAAAGCCCCGTTCTTGTTCTCTGTGCAGTGAATGGTATCTGAACGGGAATTACGCGGTGGTGTTGGTGTCCATCGGCATCATTCTCCCGCTGTCTCTGCTGAAAAACCTGGGTAAGACTTTGCTCTAAGTGTCAGGGAGGTTGAGTTTGTGAAGTGTGTGTGTGTAACTCTCGTTCTCATCTCTCACATCAGGGTATCTGGGGTACACCAGCGGCTTCTCTCTCTCATGCATGGTGTTCTTCCTGGGAGTGGTACGTTTACTGACGCTGTTCTCCTGTCAGCTCACATGCCAGTGTGTTTTATATGACGTTACAACATTCATGTGTCAGTAAGAATAGTTCAGTAAAAATGAAAATCATTTACTCACCCTCATGCTGTTCCAAACCAGTGTTCAGCTAGTATCATTGAGATACCATTATAGTTTTTATTAATATTTTACATTTACATTTAGACATTTATCCAAAGCGACTTACAAATTAGGTCAATAGAAGCAATCAAAATCAGTGATATGCAAGTGCTATAAGTCTCAGTTAGCTTAATGCAGGACACGTTGCAAGGTTTTTTTTAAATTATATAATAAATAAAAAGAAAACTGATAGAATAGAAAAAGAATAGAGCAAGCTAGTGTTAGAGGCCCTTTTTGCTTGTGTTAATTGTATAATAAATAAAAAGAAAACAAGTAGAATACAAAAAGATTAGAGAAGCTAGTGTTATTTTGAATTCGTTTTTATTTTAATTTTAGTTAACATTTTAGTTTGTCATTTTTAGTAGTTTTTAAAAAAAAAACGTCTGTAGTTTTTATTACTTTTTATTATAGTATTAGTTATTTTAATGCATAGTTTAACTAAATTAATTTTTTTTAAAAATTGTATTTTATTTGACATTTATTTTATGTAACGAAAATGTTATGCTTTTAGTTTTAGTTAACTATAATAACCCTGTTCAGAGCCTTTAATAACTGATTTTAGTTAACATTTTAATAATCAATTAATAATAATTTTCAATCGTTTTTTTCTAAAATAAGTCTATATAGTTTTTATTAATTGTTATTCTAGTTTTAGTAATTTAGCACATCAAGCTAAACTAATTTTCTTTTAAAAAATGCTTTTTTTATATTTTATGTTTTAATTTATCATATTTTTTATTTCACTTCAAGTAACATTTTTTTATGGTTTTAGTTTCAGTAAATAACCTTCATAATAACTCTGATTCACTTTCATCCTCTGGACCACAAAACTAGTCGCAATTTAAGCAGATTTTTCATGTTTTCTAGAAATATCCAACATCATAAATCCATTATTATGCTTCAGGAGATGTAGAAAGTTGTATGGACTACTGTTATGGCACTTTTTGTGTTTTATTTGCATTTCCGAAGACAAATCTAACAATTTGAACAAAGGTTTAAAAATATTTTATTACTTTAATTACTGTTTTTATTTCATCTGAAAGCTGAATGAATAATCTTTCCATTGATGTATGGTTTGTTAAGATAT